TTTATGAAAAGCGCGCGGAGGCCAATGTGTGTGCACCAGCGGCGCCCGGGCGCAGCTTGTTTACCGGCGCGGCGCGCTCGGATTTGTCTTTGTCTTTTCTCGCGCGCCCCGACGGCGAGTGGAAGTATTCTCTCGCGCGATTAATCGGCGCATTCGCCGAACTCGCGATCGTGTTCATTGTCACTGCGAGAGAGACAGAGGAAGCGAGAGAGCGAGAGGAAGAGGGGGGGGGTGTATCGCGGGGGTGCGCGGTTTCTTCGCAGGTTGCAGAGGCCTACGCGACAAAATGATCGACGAGCGAATTATCCTTCCGCCTTAAAAGAATTCTCGCGATTCGCGCGCGGGATTGAAGAGCAGGCCGGAGGAGAAGCCGGTGAGGCGGGTAATCCGATGTCATTTTCGTGGAATAAAGATTACTCGCGCTTTCCGCCGTTTGCGAGATTGGCGCATTTACATTTTGATGATCTATCGGTGGAAAAAAGGGACAAAAAGAGCGCCCGGTTCGTCGTGATTCCGCGCGCGAACCAATAGTTCTCATCCTCTTCCTCCTCCTCCTTCTCCCTCCTCCCGCTCCACCTCTTTCGGCCCCAAACCACTCTCTGCGTATCGTCCTCGCGTACGTGTACGTATGCGCGACTGTTAATACAGACATGCACGTGAAGTAACGAGCAATCCCGCGAGCGGCGAATGAAAATTCATGAAAATATGAATAGTAAGGTCAGGCCGGCGGGACGAGCGGAGACGGAGAATGCGGTCTGAAAGAGGAATTCGTGGAAAAAAGCGGAAAACCGCGGAACGTTCCCGCGGGAGATACCCTGTCGCGTTCGCGCGACGGCGCGTGTTGTTTCGAGAACGGTCGGGGATATATGGAGAAAAAGAGAGACAGATAGGTGCACAGATAAAAAGAGATTGATTGGTTGGCATGATCGAGCGTTTATTAATCGTTCCAGGACAATTCCCTGGGAACAGTCGCGATTAATCGAACCCGCTCGGTCGAGCAGGATAGCAGGGAATTTAATTAATTACCTAGATATTGCATTACAAAGGGAGAGAACTCCTCGTTGTATTTCTCCCAGCATCATTCTGCATTTGTTCAGCTCGTGTTAGAAAATCGAATAATAGCTGGTAGATGGATGAATGCCTTGATTCTTGCCCCAGGAAAATGCATCTCTAAGGGCGTTGCTTCAATAGCTAATAATCAAATTAGAAGATAATTGGAGAATATAAGAAAGAAAAGAGCAGAAATGCCAAAAGAGAGATGGAAATGAATGAAAAGGTGAGGGAGAAAAGGAGAGGAAAAGACCGCGAAATGCGAGGCGAGACGAACCGATCGCGTTCGATTCGCGCAGCGAACGTCGAACGTCGCGCGATGGAGTCTCATCGTAAACATCGAATAAATCTCCATGTTTTCCGCAGATCCTCGTTCTTCTCCTGCGCCGAGCAAGAGAGAAAAGAAGAGCCGCGGAGCCGAAACGTAAATTCGCGGGAGCGCGCGTGTCATTGGCGATGTACGCGAGAAAGGATGATGTATCGCCTCGCGAACTATCGCGCGCGTTTCCCGATCCTCGGCTAGCCTAACGACGAGCGGAGGAAGCGGGGTGGAAAATAATCCGCGCTGCGCTGGGAGGATTTGCAGGGGGGCGCGCGCCCGTGTGCTCCGCAGGAAAATGATTCGGCAGATTTTTGCACGCTTTCGCAAATGACGGTCTATCTACAAGCGCGTGCCCCCCCTCCCCGCGCGTGCTCCCCCGTCACTGTGCGTGCGTGCGTGCGTACGTACGCGCGGCCATGATAAATTGGAAGCTTTCAGCCGCGGCGAAAAGCGGGCGATAGGACAAACGAGGGTGCGAATAAGCGGCGCGAAAAGCCGACCGAGGAAAAAATGAGGGCGTCCGGGGGCGGGCGGACAGGCGTTTCGCCTGTGAATGGAGAAACAGGAGGCGCCGTCGGGGGTCGTGCCTCGCGTCTCGCGTCTCGCGATTGCCCCCTACCCCTTGTCGCTTGGTTGAAGAGACTGCCGGGCATAATTTAAAGCGCGCACATTGGACTCTTGGGCTAAAATACACGCTGTTCGACGACTCGTGCAAATTATGAGCGCCTCGCGCGCGCTAATTGGAATCGCGCAGAGCACGAATGTTGCGAGCGAAAGTCGCCGCCGGCGGGGGCGGGGCGGAGACGACACGACTGGCTCTAGACCGATTACCAGCGATAAATTCCCGTCATGAATTCCATGCTGCCGTCGTTAAAAAACAAAACAGAGGAGACGAGAAGGAAAACGCCCGGCGCACACGCACACGCACACACGCGTACGCACACGCACGTGCACACTCGCACACTCGCACCCGCCTAGTAGCGGAGCAGGTAGTAATAACAGCAGCATCGACAGCGGGACGGCGCGCGTCTGTTTAGAGAATCGCGGAAAATCGCCATTTAGCCGACTCGGCGCGGCGCGGGGTTATCGTCGCGCCGAGCGCTACGGACGGATCACCGTATTTATTTACGTTGACAGTAAATAAACAGGCACGCGTATGCAATTGCAGCGCACTTGGCATCCCGTGTGCATATCGAATGTTTGGAACGTCGAAAGTTAAAGGTGCTCGCGCGAAGCGGATTTGAAAGCGTAATGTGTGTATCACACTAGCTAGACTCACGACTGCAGCTGCGGCTGCGATTGCGATTGCGATTCTTCTTCGACCAATCAGAAAACAGCGACTCGCGGCTGCGACTCGCGACTGTCGTTTGGACGGCTGTCCATTTTTTGAGTCACAGCCGCAGTCGCAACCAATCACAGTCATAATCACATTTATTTAATTTAAAATATATATATTCAATAGTATATATATAATATAATAAAAGTCGGTGATCATTAGAATAAGGTTATATCTAGTGTTGTTTTATGTGTTACATATATTTTTTTAAATGTCAAAACAATTTAATAAGGAGATAGACTATTGTTTAGTAGATCTCGTGCACTAGGAAAAATATATTGTTGCGTGAACCAAAATTTTGTTGTAACAACAAAATAATTGGGTTAAAATATGCCCAACAAAACTGTTTAGTTCCTATAAACAAATATCTTGTTTGATTACGGTTCGTTCGTATAACGTAATACTTTTGTTATAGCAACCAAAAAAAGCTTTAACTATATGAATTTTGTTAAAAATACTATAATTTTTTCTTAATATATAAAATCTAAATTTTAGTGCACAGAAAAACAAAATAGTATCCATTGGGCATTATTTTAGTTTATGTAAAATAATATTTCGTTATTATGTAATTTTTATGGATAAAATAACTAAAATGCTTAATTTTTATATATAAAGTCTAAGAACAAAATCATTTGGTCCAGAAAACAAAGCAGAAGAATATATTTAGTCGAGTCAATTAAATATTTTGTTACATAAAACAAGATATTTGGTTGCTATTAAAAAATGCCTCAACTAAACAGTTTTGTTAGAGATACTACAATAAATCTTTTTTTCCTAGTGTAGAATGTAAACCCCTTCCTCTGGGATTGTTGTACGTATGACAGTATGTTAACAGTATTTAGCCGCAGCCGCGATCGCCAATCGCAAGTGTGATTGGAAAACAAGAAATCGCAGTCGCAGTCGCAGCCGCGAGTCGCTAGTGTGATACGGTCTTTACACGGATCCCCCGTCTTAGTTTCTCCCTTCTTGCCTGCCTACTCTGCCTTCCTCACGCTCGGCGGACGTCGTCGCATAATGAGGATCAGGTAGAAAATTAGGGGCAAGTGGGCAAGCTGGCTGCGTGCGTGCGTGCGTACGTGCGTGCGTATATGAGCGGAGGCTCCTTCTCACTCGCGTGGGTTGACGACGGTGTCAAGGGCAAGGTGAAATGCAAACATCGCGCCGAGCGAGGGCGATTAGCGCGCTACGGCCGCGTGCGGGGGGGGGGAGGGTTGGCAAGCGAGAAAGCAGAGAAGGGAAGGGGGGAAATTACTTGTGCGCTACGGCTACTCGTACTTGTTCGAGTTTGTCTTGCCAAAGAGAAACGGTGACAGCGCGCTGAAGAGCGCGCTCTTGGAACTTGAAACTTTCCCGTATGTGCGGCGCGACGACAATCGGTCAGACGACAAACGGAACCCGTCGCGTCGGTTCCATCGGAAATATACATACACACGTATATACGGGACCGTCATGACTATCCCAAGTATTCACTTGGAAACGAAGCGCCCGAGGACAAAGAGCGAATCGCGCAATTATCGAGCACTTTACGGGTATTTGTTCTTTGTTACGTCTCTCGTAGGAAATGATATATGCGCGCGTAGCGTCTTTCGTAATTACATGTATATACGGAGAAAGAGAGAGAGAGGGAGAGAGAGAGAGAGAGCGCTTCTGTTAGAGAAATGGTCGAAATGTGCAATTACTCAGCGTTTTGTAAAATCTATTACGCGGGTTAAACCCGCGATTTTCCTCGAAGAATTGCAAGATCTGCAAGATCTGCTGCTACATGAGTAAAGACTGACGCAACGGCAGTTCGTCAATCCTCCAATTTTTTCCTCCTTCTTCCTTTTTTCTACTTGAAGAAGATCAAAATCGTAAGACTTCGTAGACTCGTACCCTGCGCTTTCTAGCCAGAAGGATCCGAAGACAAGAGATAAATATCCTCCTTACATTATCCATTATCCAAGTACCGTCTTCGTCTGGCTTTCTCTGATAACGATAAAGTCCGACAAAAATATAGCACAGCCCAACATGATCGAACGAATGATGAAGTTCTCAATTAACGACCTCATCGTTGAAATGAATTAACGAATTAATGATACATACGTGTCGGTCCGATGGAGGCCGGCGTAGTCCATCGCTTGAAAGGGCTGTTTGATACCACGAAACTACGGCAATTCCGGCACGTTCGCGTTCCGCGGAATCTGGCACGCGCGATACGCTGGCTGGCTGGCTGGCTGGCTGGCTGGCTTGCGGAAAATACCAAATTGTGTCTTTGCGCCGTACGCGAATGTGTAACAGTTCTCGTCCGTGAAACTACAGCGATGCTCAACGGACCGCGAAAGACCAAGAATACCACTCTCTCGCCGCTCTCTTTCTCTCTCACTCTCACTCGCCGAGTACATTATGCCCGACCCAATTAAAATCCATCCCGTCTCTCGTTCTCCATCACCCCTTTCTCCTGTTCTTGCTTCTCCGACCTCGCTCGGTCTCTCCACGCGACACTTTTTCATTCACTTTCATTTTGATCAACATTCTTCTTTGCTTGACCGTTACGTTCGCTCTCCCGTTACGTAACGCTACCGTACGACGCGGTCGACTCCGCTCGTAATTGCTTTTTTAAGCTAGCGTCATGTTGGTTTGGGGAGGGAAGAAGTCGAGGAGGAGGAGGATTGTGCGCGTACGTTACGCTCCCGGCTCATAAATCTCCGTCAGACTTTGTGTATCGAGAAGCGAGGGTCGTTTGGAGCGGGCGTGCCGTCAGCCGAGAGACGGCGAAGGGGGCGGAAACGGAGTATGTATATAACTGGGGGATTACACTTTTGGTAGGTGTATTAACGTCGGAACGTTAACGTAAATCTGTCGTTCATGCGAGCTAATCTCGGCTCGGCTCGGCTCGGCTCGGCTCGACTCGGCTCGACTCGGCTCGAGCGTGCGTTTCTTTCTCGGCCGGAAGAAAAACGCGAGCGACCAGCAGTTAATATTGTCTCGCTCCGATCCGGCCCGGCCGATTTCTAGTCCGGCAACTTCCTCGATAATGAAAGTCCGCTTCTTTTTACCCCCTTTGCCTGTCGCAACTTCGCCACCGTGAAAGAGCGATATTCTCCTGCGATGCAATTTTCGGCGGCGGATGTCATAAATCGTCGATCGTTTTTGCCGGGATTTTCAAGATTACGGGCTCGTCAGGCTGCCTTTCCGCGACTCTCCGAATACCGTCGCGAACGGTATTTTTGCGAGGGAAACTGCTCTCGGCGCAGCCTTTCGGCGATCCGCGACGCAACAAGTATCGCGTTAACCGTCTCGCCTCGTCTCCGACTGCTCGCGGAAACAAAGCGCGCCGGTTATTAAAACGAGCCTCCTCCGCGTCGTGGATATGGCCGCGAATAGAAGGCCCGCGATAGGAGCGTGGGGGAGAAACAGAGAAATAGAAAGGAAGTGAGAGACGGAGAGACAGACAGACAGACAGACAGACAGACAGACAGACAGAGAGTAGAACTAGTGTAAATTTGCACGGGCGAGCGAACAGCTACACGTTATTAAGATCGGCAAGCCGGCAGGTATCCGCGAAGACTTACCATGACGGAGAAGCACGTCGAGAAAAACGTCGTTCTGACGTTGCGATTGTATCGAGAAAATTACATGCTTGTCGGGGGACAGGAAGAGATAGAAGGAGAGAGGGAGAAAAAAAGTACCCACGCGTCGGCGAACAATCAATGGGGACTGTCAGGAGCAGATGAGAAGAATTCCTCGTTTTTTTTTTCTTTTTTTTTATATCGGAGTCGCCGCGAAGCGACAGAAAGAACGGCTTGACGGTGGGAGGGAAGACGGACAGACAGACAGACAGACAGACAGACACAGACTGAGAGCACTGAACGTATCGAATGAATCCGCGCGTAATATGCGCGACCTGGATCTCGATTATTTCCTCGTTTCCGTGTCGAGGCTGTTCCTCTTTCGCTTCGCCCCCGTCTATCCGTCTTTCTCTTCCTCCTCTTTTTCTTTTTCCTCTTTTTTTTTTTTTTCAAATCAGAGCGAGAGAGAGAGAGAGAGAGAGAGAGAGAGGCAGAAGAGAGAAAGGGAAGTTATAACGCGGCGCGGAATATCTAGCAACGCGACCCGACGGAGGTGAGAATATGAAACGATATGGAAATATGGTCCGGCTGTTTTATCCTCGCGCGAAGTGCCATGTCGCGCTCGAAATGGATGCTGTAACTTCGCTATTGCTCCGGTTTGTGTGAGAGCGAACGAGCGCGACGGGGGTTTGCCGTTTCGAATAACGGCCCTGAATCTGCGCGTCGTCGAAGCCGCGAGCCGCCCGTCGGCGGCTCCTCTTGTTTCCCGTTTATTTTCGCGCGACAGTCGAACCTCTGCCCGAGAGATGCATCGCGCTGCACGTTGCCGCCGTGTAATTTCGCGCGATGACGCGTTCCTCTCTCGCGAGCGTTTCCCGCAGATACCGCACAGAAGCTCCAGACTCGCCCGAGAATTGCTTATTCGGTTGCGATACCGATCGCGGGAGTCCCTTTCGCATTCCAATAGAACGAAGAATCGGAAACGTTAAAGTTGCACATTTTATGTAACATGTTGTTACATTTTACATCTTCGCTCAAGATACTTGTGGATGATTTCGAAGCAAGTCTGAGCAAAGTGCTCGGAACATTTTGAGGAACTTTAACGCGTTTAACGAGTACTCAGGCTTGCAAAGTATTTGTGTGCAAAGACTCGGTGCGCGTTTCCGACATGAAACATAAATATGAAATAGGAAAAGCGATTTAAGGAGACTGGAGGATCAGATTGCTGAAAAATCGTGCTTGTTTTTGCTAATATCAAAATGTGAACTGAATAAATGTGCAAGAATGAAAATTTTAGGTATAGTTATATAACATATGAAGAGTAGAAAAATTTTGTTTATTAACAAATACTCGTATAAATATACGATATATATAGCTGAAATATACTCTCCTTTTTTTTTCAAGTTATCGTTTTTGCAGTAATATCTCGGCTCTCGATAGTCCGATTAGAACGAATTTTAGCTAGAAATCTTGAGGAGGCTTATCATAATCATAAGTGAACCACTAGAAAAAAAATCGAACAACATTAACAAAATGGCAGCTATTAATACGAAAAAATTCCAAATTTTCAATTCTTTTACGATAAAGATATTAATATCTCGAAATGAAATATTTTTGGACGGAGTTGTCCATGGTTCACCTGAGAGCCACATGAACAAATATTATTGCTTTAAAATTTCAAATTGATACGCAGCTCAGGTTTGGAGAAATCACTGCAAATAGTTGAACAATAAATTTTCGAGAAAAACGCGTTTAAAATTTAAATGGACGTATATTGAGTATGAGTATTTGTTTAAAAACAAAACGTATGAGTATTTGTTTAAAAACAAAATTTTTCTACTCTTCATATGTTATATTAATATATGTAAAATTTTCATTCTTGCACATTTATTCAGTTCGTCACAAAATCATTATCAAAAATAAGCACGAATTTTCAGTAATCTGTGACCCTCTTTTAAGAAGTCCCCTTTTAAGGGGGAACGCTCGGCAGAAAAAAAAACAGGATCTGTTTGGGTTTCCCGTTTATAGAATTGTGTTCTTGAAACGTCGCGTGTTTAATCCGAATCTTCCTCGTGATCTTCCCGCAATCAGAAGCAATCATTCTTTTCGAGAGATCTCACGAAGATCTCTCAAACGATCGTTCGCGGTGGCGTACTCTGCGCTCTTATCGTCCACCGGGATGTTATTAAAACGTCTAATAACAATGTTCCGACTTTCTCTTTGAGCCGAGTCGCGCTGAATGAAGATAAAGTCGGAAGAAAAATGTTTTCTTCCAGAGACGCAGAGTCCGTTCGTCCCTCCCCCCCTCCCGCCCTTAGACTGTGTCGGCGCTCTTGAAACTCTCGCGCTCGCTATTCACCACGCTGCTCTAAATTACGCGCCACCGCGATATTTCTCATTTTTATGTTCCGGCTTATTATACAGATGGTAATTAATCTTGATGAAAATATTTCTCGCCGGCTGCCGTCGCCGCCGCCGCTGCTGCTGCTGCTGCCGCGGCATTTTTGTTGTTGATCCGATAGCACGGTGAGTCCGCGTGGCACCGTCGCTGTGTTCGCATTTGCAACTAATAAGACTCGGCGGTTGCGGCCGCAGCGCTGGGTTTTACATTCTACTCAAATGTATTCCGCCGCCGCCGACGACGACGACGTTCGTCCGAATGCGAGTACGCTCGCTAACAATCCTGCAATTTTTCATGCAAACGAGATGTTATGTAGACTGATCGCGCTTAATCTTCCCGATATCGCGTATAAATATTTAACTCGCGCTACACACGCACACGCGAACGCAAAGCTGTGCCAGCGAGTACTACTCGAGACTGCGCTCGTAAAACATCCCCCCGTCCAACCACTCTCTGCGACCACCCCTTGCTGCCGGTGGACCGTCTAGTTTAGCGAGAGATAAAGAAAATGCAGAATAAGAGTCGTAAAACGCGAGCGTGCTCGTGAGAGAGAAAAGCGCGGCGACCGCCGTGGTGCGACAGGACGACTGCACTTGGCTGTTGCAAACGACTGGAATAGATTCTTTTCTTTTTTCTGATTGCAATTCGGAGCACAGCTCCAAATGTCCAACGAGAGATCTTAAGGAGATGCCGCGCTTGGAAACTTTAACGACAAGAATATTGAGAATTTTCTTTGCTCTCAATCGTGACAGCGCGCTTATTCCTCGTCTTCTTTCTTATGTCAAGCCAAAGGCACTGTGAGATAAACCGAGACGTTTCGCGAAATCTTCGGACGGAAGTTAAGAAACCTGTTTAACCTTTTAACGCTCGACTTTTTTATAAATGTTTTAAGAATAAAATTTGAGTTTTTTTGAACTGAGACTGTAAGTAGTGATAACCAAAAAATATATCAAAAATATATCAGAATTTTATATCTACGAAAAACTACCTTTCCAAGCAGAAATTACTCCCAGAAGCGAAAAATACGCCTGATCGGTTAATTTCTTTTTTTAATTTTAATAATTTTATATCATACCTAATGGTTGGAAAAATTCCTCAAAGGATAAAACTTATATTTTCAAAACTTGATGTTTATTTACTCGGAATGGAATTGCATAAAGCATCGAGAGATGCAGAGGGGAATTTTACAGGTTTTGCAAATTATTTTTGTCCCGCTTTGCTTCCCTTTCGAGCTGCACAATTGACAACGTCTTTTACTGTTTTTCTTAACAGGCATGTGCTTGTTGCAACACTTTCTGATGTACGAAAAACGAAAATGAAAACAATCGACTTTTGAACGGAAA